TCCCCAAAACCCCAAAACCCCAAAACCCCTAATTTATTAAATTTTATTGCAAGATGAAAAATAATCAAGTCTATCGCACTCTTCCTTCAAGTAGCCAACAGAGGAATGATCGGATGACTCAGATATTAGAGAATTCTGAGTATCGAAGCCCTGAGCTCCCCCCACAAATAATCGAAGTCTTACCTGAGTCAAGTTCAATGTAAGCCTTAACATAGCTTATGTCTGTATAACTCCTAAATACGGAAAATTGGAGGGAGAACCAGTAATCAGACTTTTTCGTTCTCTGCATCCAGTGTGAATATTCTAAAAATCCCTATCTCCTTATCTATTGCCAAAAATAATCATTTGTTCAAAAATTCTGGGAAATTACAATTGCAAATTCCTTGAAAATATCATAGCTTCAATTATAGCAAAGAAAGAGAGATGCCCAATTAAAATGAAGCGAAGAGATGTCCAAATAAAATTCGGCCCTGGTCACCACAAAGAAAGGGATCTCAAAGATATCTGGTACGCCCTAGATTACCAAGACCGAAGGATTAACAAGCTCATTGACGAGAACCAGGAGTACAAAGACAGGCTTAAATATACTGAGAAAAGACTTGACGTCGAGATAAAAGATATTAAGAAGCAAATATCAGGCCTTCAGAATAATATGGAGTCCATAATCGACATTGTGAAGGTAGCATTTAGGTTTAATTCGTAGGTATTTCAGTCCCAGTTTGAACAACTCAAGAAGGCTACAAAGGCTAGAGCTACTAGTCCTGGCTCACCTAAGTTCTCCACTGGGGTATCCACCAGATCTAGTAATAAGAAGCAAATAAGTTTCAACACTAGAGTTAAAAAGAAGGTGAGGAAATCTAAGCCTGCTGTTCATCAGGCTGCTTTGACTGATACTGAGAGTAATAAAATGCATGATTTACTCAAGAAGAACTGCCCGAATTCGAAAACTAAGAAGAATTTTTATTCAAACAAGTCAAAATCCAAATCTATCAGCTCAAGTGGACTTAAGAATAAATTCAAACCCAATACTTTTAAAAATCAAAGCGTGAGTAGATCTCCTCACAGAGATGACAGTCATAGTACGACTTCAAGAAATAAGAAGAAATCAACGATTGGTAGTGCGGAAAGATGGAAAAGCCAAGCTTTGAAGAATTCTGTAGAAACTTTATCAATCTCATCAGAAAAACCCAAAGCAGCTTATTTTAAGAATACTCTCGATTCTCACAATAAGATCAGGTCTGGGGGTACAAAAGGTATATTTCCTATTCATCCTGGCATCTTTCAAAAGCTAAAATTTTGATGAATTTTCATAAATATGAACATTTCTTATGTAATCCTTATCTAGCCACAAAACATCCACAAAAAGCAACCCCAGTGCAGAATGTTAAGTTGTACACGAGAGAAGACTCTTCATCGACAAACGAAATCGAAGAGCAGCTGCCCCAAATGATGAAGTTCTTCGACAGCAAAGTTCCTGGCAATGTCATGAAGTACAAGCTTGACTTAAGCGGTTCCAAAGTGAAGCCTCAAAAGCCGGCAAGAATGACTTGGACCAAATAGCCTGGAGGCTATTTTGACCATAATATTCCTTAAAAAGCTGGCAGCTTTTTCTGTAAATATTATTCGTCCCAATAAGTATCTCCATTAAAGGGGTTTTGGGGTTTTGGGGTTTTGGGGTTTTGGGG